GGGGATTGTCAAGGGTGGGGGGAAAAAAAGGGACACATATGTAATACCCTTTGTAAGACTGTAAGCAATAAAATAAAATAAAATAAATAAAATAAAAAAAATTTTGTTTGGTATCTAGCAGTTACATTCATTGGGGTTAGGTATGAATTTCATCTATATATGCTTGGGATATATATTGTGTTTCCTGAATTTATGAATTCATGTTTTCCAACAAATGTAGAAAATTGTTATTTCTTCAAATATTGCCACTCCTCCATCCTCTCCATTCTTTCCTCCCCTAGTACTTTAGTCTTCATGATCTTCCTTCCATACCTCTTAGTATTTAGATCTTCCAGCAGCTCATTTCTCCTTGCTGTACATTGGGTCATTTTTTAGATTTAGCTTTCAGTTTATTCAATGTCTTTTCAGATGAGTCTAATATGACATTCAACATTCCCAAGAATTTTTTTTTAAATTTCAAGTAACATTCCTCATTTCTAGAGAATGTAATCTGAAGGTGGTTATTTCTATAGGTTCTTTCTTATGCTAGTTAGTTTCAATTTGTGACTGGTGATCTCTAGTCATGAAATAACATTGATTTATCTTAATCTATGAGAATTTTCAGCCTCTATCTTGCTGCTGTCAGGCGTTATAGGGGACTACAAAGTGAGGACCACTTCAACTGTCGTGGCTAGGGTAGCATCTCAGATTCAGATTATTCTCGTTTCTGGTCTGAGGCAAACTGCCTAAGGCAGTGCTGCAATTGGTATCTGCCATCTGAGCAACCACAGCCCACCCATAAGCTTAATACAGTATTTACGATTTCCAACTCAAAATGTATTCATTTTTGTGGCAAAAGAAAAATAAAGGTATGGTTTTTGGAGATCTCCCCTACTTTCCTTGAGTGTATTAATGCATTCAAAGGTATATTTTTATTCAGGATCTAGGTGTTTTATAGTACCTAATCTAATGTACTGCTGGAAGAAAAAATCTTATTTAATATAGTGAAACAATTATGATATACAAACATGAGAAAGCACATGATTTATGGCAATCTTTACTGATTCAAATCCGGAAAGGTTTCCTACTCCTTGATCAGAACTTGGTCAATATTTTGGAACTGGGTAAACATTAGAAAGGTCCTACAGTATGAACTTACCCAATAGGTTGTTGCCCCACTTTGTAGAAATTTCTCCTTTTGTTCTATTACTAAGATATTCAGCCAACCCTGACTATTCAAATTCTCAATGTCCTGATGAATATGTGATCCAGATCAAGAGGACTAAAATCTGTGAAAATAAACCATCAGTTTGAACATTTAAAAATAAGTAATAATGATTTGTTACATGAAGCTTCCATCTAGATAAATAATTTTATTGCAGAGCTAAACAAGGCAGCTGGTGATTTCATTTGTCAGAAACACACCTAATAGGAGTTTGGCAGCAGGTCTGGCTGCTGTTTTCTTAAATGCAGAAGGCTTGTTTGCATCTTTTATTATTCATAATTGTTGGTCAATGTTCTGTGGATGATCAGGAAGCTCTTTGTGCTTCACCCTAATCACTGAAGTAGTGAAAGGCAATACCCACAGCAAGGACTGCAACTGCAAATGCTGCAATCATACCTAAAAGTAAGCAAACACAAAACAAATGGAAATGGAATGAGCGAAAGAAAGGTTTACTTGATTCTAGCCTCTGAAATGTAGGTAATTGATGGGCCTAAACAACAACAGCACACACACAAATACATATTTTTACACACATATAGACATGTCCTAAAAGCCGACAGTCTTAGAGGAAATACAGCAATTAGTTTTAAAAAAATAGGTTGCAAAGGTTAGACTGGTAATCATGTACTTCATCACTTTAACGAAACCTTAAACAACAAATAATAGTGTCTTTCTTACACATGTATGCACTCACACACATCTAAGAGAAAAACTAACACATACTTTAAAAGGGTCCTATCCATTTATATTGAAATTCCAGTTGTCTCATGCAATTAAGCTTAAACCAAAAAGACAGCTCTAATGTGCAGTGGTTCTCAATCATTAAATGCAGTCACTTGAACAACTATTGAAAACTACAGAAACTCAGATCACCATTCTAAAATCTAAGAACTAGTAACTCATTTTTTGCCCCCTGATTGTTAAGTTAAAAAACAAACAAACAAAAGACCGGACTAGAGAAACACACACACACCCCCCCATAAGAATTTATAAAATTAACTTAAGTTTATCTAATAAATAAGTGACAAGAAAAACAAAACCCTGGCTCTCTGCCAAAAACCTTAATACTTTCCATGAAACAAGAGTGTACATGCTCTTCGATCAGTAAGTCTGAAAAATGTGAAAGTGACTGCCACGCTATCATGGAATCTTTTAAATACTTAAGTGCATTATAAATTTCAGTCTCAAATTTGACTTTTTTTCATAGCAGATATCGAATCTGCAGTAACAATCCTGGGAGAACCAATTTGGAAAGTATTGGTCCTACTATACTAGTCAATTCCCCAAATTCAAAATGCTTTTCTTCTAAAAGCACCAATAAAATTAGTAGGAAGAGTCATCTTTGAGGGCCCTTGGGATAATGCATCATTTGTACATCTTTCCATCTCCAGGTCTTAGCACGTTCCACAATTCTCAATAAATACTGGCTTAATCTAGTACCTTTAAGTAAACTAAAACCCAGTAATTTTAAAGTAACAAGAAAACGGAAATCCAAAATACCATCTTTTTCAATGTTACAAAAGAAATAAAATACCCATGTTTTGCCGAATTTTCAATACTATTGAAGTTTGCATTGGTTCTTTTGGCTGTTCATCATCTCTATTGTCCAACGGAGCTTCAGAATTCATAGAGGAACTCAGAAAAGCTGCAAGAGAATAATAATGAATCCTATTGTGGTTTTGGCAATTAATAATTTTAAATAATTAGATATTAGTACTAAAGATGGGATCAGCAAACTGCTGCCCATGGACCAAACTTGCAGGGGTTGGCCAGACCTTATGTGTTCCACAAAGCCTAAAATAGTAACTATTTGAACCCATACAGAAAAGTTGTCCTGACTCTCGACTTAACCTGAAATTTGAAATATATAAGCAAAATATGACAATAAATCTGACCATTAAAAAAAATTGTTAAGCAAGGCAAGCACGATATCTCATTTTACAGATGAAATATAAAACCTGGGAAGTTAGTGCATAGTTGAGGTCATGGGCAGCAGATTGAGGATTCAGATACAAGGTTTTTTATTACTTAATTACGGGTGAGAATAATTTTTGTAGGTTTGCTTAGCTGAATTTATTTAACACCGACTAAAAGCATTTGAAAACATTCTTAGAGATCATATAGAGCAGTGGTTTTAAGACCCCTAGTGCTAAAGAGACTGACATAAAATCCAAGCATGTACAAAAGGTGACAGTAGCATTACTCTGGTTGAAGCAGGGATAGGTGGCTCCTGGAGCCAGACTCCCTTCTTCCTCTCACGGGGCAGTGGAGTTCAGGCCTATAGAACTCTGGGGAACTATGTCTGAAAGCAACTACTTCATGTTGATCCTTTTATTTACAAAGAAGAGGACCACGGTGAGAGACAGGAAACACTACTGTTCAAATTCCAAGTAAAGTAGCCTCGTACATGGATTTAAAATGTCCTTATAAACGAGTGTATCCCCGTATACTAGCACATAAACCTATTGAAAGAGATACTTAGCGTATCAAAATGGATGAAAGAAAAAGGGAAAAATGCCTAGTTCTCATCAATTCCCCATGAAGAAAAATTTACTGTCATTTTTGGAAATAATCCTTAGTAACTACCTCAATTAGAATCAAGGGAAGTCTCATTCTATTTATATCCTCTTAACATATAACTAAAGAACTTTAAAAACAAAGGTATTTTTTTTTCCTACTCCACTACCAAGTTGTCACAAAGGCAAACAAATTCTTACTATGAACTGTCTCTAAAACTATTCAGTCTATTTCTACAGCTTCTTGTTTGCTAAAGGGCCATAACACCTTAGTTCTAGACAACATTAGCCTACCAGTTCCCAATTTCCCTTAACTTTATCTGACAAAAATTGAATCTCTGTCAATCTCTCCTTTACCCACCTGCTGGGGTCCAACCCCAGCAGGTTCAGGGGTCCCCAAAGGTGTGGACGGAGTCGGTGAAGAAGGAACGACACGGAGACAGCGTTCAGTTATCAGCAGCCTAGACAGGATCTCTAGCCAAGTTCTGGTCAGGATCTCCGGCAAAGTTCTGGTTAGGATCTCCAGCCAGGTTCTGTGTCCATGTTCTCTTGCTAGGTTCTGTCCAGGTTCTCCAGTCAGGTTCAGTCACCAGGTTCTAGTCAGGTTCTCTTGCCATGTTCTATCCAGGTTCTGTAGCCAGGTTCTGGTCTCGATCTCCAGCGAAGTTCTGGTTTTTATTGTCTTGTTACATCCGTATTTATACCAGTTGATTTTAATCCTGTCAATTTCTATTGCAAAGGTTAGGGCGTTTCTTATCTCCATTCCAGGGAGTAAAGATTATGTAGTTTAAGCGTGATTGTTTGTAGTTAAAGTGACTACCCACCTGGCACTTAGTTAAGGAGTTTTATCCCCTCCCTGACTTCAGGGAAAAATCCCTACCTGGGGAAACAACCTTTCTCGGAGAGGTGACCTTGGTTAAAACACACAGCGCTAAGGGGAGCAAACATATTAAGAACAGTATGCTATATACACCAGGTCCCTTGAAACATATGCTGTGCAGATGTTTCTTTCCTGCAGCGACTGTGTCAAGCAGCAAGGATGGACCGGCTTCCGGCACCCACCTCCACCTTCCTCCCCTTTACCCTTTAGCCCAGGTGGGGAGGGGGGCGGGAGATGGAGGAAGGTGGAGGTGGGTAAAGGTGAGATTGACAGAGACTTGACTTGGGGGGGTGAACACATAATACAGTGTACAAAGGATGTGTTGTAGAATTGTGCACCTGAAATCTGTATAATTTTGTTGACCAGTGTCACCCCAACAAATTCAATTTAAAAAATGGAATGGATAACATAATTTTATTCATGTTAAAACACACGCACACACAAACTTTGGCTTTTCTATCAGCAAATATCACTGGTAAAAAAACTTTTTCTTTGGGCCATATATCTGTATCAGGTAACAAACAAAAATATTGGATAAAGCATGAATTATACCTATTTGCTAAAGGAATTTTTTTTTAAATGTAAGCACTTGTACATAACGAGCACAAAAATGGTTCTATTTGTCATGATATATGATACATTTAATATTGAACTGTTACATGTGAAGATCATGCTGCACAAATAATATACTTCTATAAAAAAAAAAAAAAGACATTCCATTGCTCTGTTATTTCCATTTTTAAATCGGTCAAAATCCTGTGACTTGATACAAATTCAAGGTAAGTTTACTGAAACAGAGCACTTTTTAAGAACAAATAAAGCCCTGTCATAACAATTTACTTTTTGTGAGCGTCTGTAGGCTTTTAATTCAAATCTCAGGCACTATGTTATTTTACCAATACTTTAATTTAAATGCAAATGACATATGTTCAATAAGAAAGTAGATTGTAACTATTCTTTAAAGCCAGGTAACTTAACTTCAGACAAATCATGTAAGAAAACAACTTTCTTGAGCAACTGTTAACCAAAGAGACAACAAGGGCCATGTTGAATACATGCGAATTGTCAATGTGTTCCATTTCACGCCAAGTTAACAGGTGGGTAGGACTATTTAGAAGCTTAAAATGAAACATTAGGACTTGAATTCCTTTGGTTAGTTGTCTTCTTCTCCATCTCTGAATCCTAAATTAATGAGGTTTCACTATAGTCAGTGATTTAGCCAAAAATTACATTTTCTTTTTTTTTTTTTTTTTTTTTTTTTTTTTTAAATATATTTTATTGATTTTTTACAGAGAGAAAGGGAGAGAGATAGAGAGTTAGAAACATCGATCAGCTGCCTCCTGCACATCTCCTACTGGGGATGTGCCCGCAACCCAGGTACATGCCCTTGACTGGAATCGAACCTGAGACCTTTCAGTCCGCAGGCCGACGCTCTATCCACCGAGCCAAACCGGTTTCGGCAAAAAATTACATTTTCTGTATTACTTTTTCCTCATAATTAAAATTAGCAACATTTAATGAAACAGCAAAAAATTAATTTCAGTTCAGATAGCAAGACAAAATTAGTAAAATGAGTTTCATCCAATTTTAAAGGTGTGTCTCCCAATTTTAGCTGATATTGTGGATAAAGTACATCTGAATTATTAAGTTAATATCTACTAGGAGGTGACTAATGCATTTAAGTAATTTTAAAGCCATAGTTATCCCTCACCTTAAGTAAGTCATTTTGACAAATTGTTCTTCATACCTTAAGTCATTTAAAACTATGTTATTTTAAGATATTTACTTGGCAAATATATATTTTAAACATAGCAACTACTTGGCAGCTATATTATAGAATAGAAATAAATAATAATCAAGCTAGATACTTATACGTTTAATGCAACTATATAGCAATTGACTTCAATTTTTAAATTTAAATATTTGAACTCTACTTTTTATGGTTTATTATATATAAAAAGATTAATTTAAAATATTTAGGAAAATCTATGCACACTATAAAAATACTTTCCTACTTTAATATTAATATTTTTCATTATAATCCAGAAATCATTATTTTAAAGCCTTATAATGCTACTTATTATCATGCTGCCTTTATGTTTAGAAAGTATTTCACCCAACATTTTTACTAAATTCTCATACCAACCCCAAGAGAATCTGAGGTTCAGAGGGTACTTGTTTAAGGTTATATAGCTGTGAGTGGCACACCTGGACTAAGCTAAAGACCTATCTTGGAAAAATTATGCATCTAATATTTTTGAGTAAATTAATAAGTAAATGAATGAATGACTAAGGAATGACTAAATAACCAATAGGATATTTATGTAAAAGCACTTAATTTTTCTATTACAAGGTTTGTTTTCACCCTACCTCATAATTTGGAAATGTGTCATTTCATTATTAAAAATACACTAATTACTAAATCATTCCTTCTCATTTAAACATTTGATGAAGCAAAACCAATATAATTCTAGAAAAGTAATATTCTTGGCTACAATATAACTCCTATCTGTTCATTTCCTAAAAAGCCTAGAGTTACTTTTACTGTATTCATCCTTCCAAATGAACTCAAATGTTACCTGCTCTGAGAAGTTTTCCCTGAATCTCTTACAGGTAGAGTGCTTGTGCTAAAGATTAATTTAAAATATTTAGGAAAATCTATGCACACTATAAAAATACTTTCCTACTTTAATATTAATATTTTTCATTATAATTCAGAAATCATTATTTTAAAGCCATATAATGCTAGTTATGTAGTAAATAAATGTAGTAAATAAATAAGACTGTAGTCTTATAGTCTGTATTGGTTAGGTCCCATGGAAAGGTAGTAAAACAAAATTGTTAGAAAAAAAACACACAGATTCTAGAATCAAACTGCTTAAGTTTAAGCTTCACCATTAGTAGGTATGTAACCTGACTAAGTTATTTGACCTTTCTGAGCCTGAAGTCTCTCATCTGGAAAATGAGAGAAAAGTCATCATGGAAAATGGGGCTAATAATAATCTGCATCATAGGGTTGTTGCAAGGATTAAATGATTTCATATTTGTAAGGCTCTTAAAACAGTGTCTGGAATGTAAGAGGTTCTATATAAATAGCTAATGTTGTTATTAGAGTATTAGGTTTAATTCAGGGTAATATATTTCAAGGAAGGCAAATCTTATATAATAAAAGAGTAATATGCAAATCAACCAAATGGTGGAGCAGCCAGTCGCTATGAGGCGCACTGACCACCAGGGGGCAGACGCTCAATGCAGGATCTGCCCCCTGGTGGTCAGTGCATTCCCACAGGGGGAGTGCCGCTCAGCCAGAAGCCCAGAAGCCGGGCTCACAGCTGGCGAGAGCAGCAGCAGGGGCAGGAGCCTCTCCCACCTCCGTGGCAGCGCTAAGGATGTCCTAGTGACGACTTAGGCCCCCTAAGCCATCAGTCGGACATTTCCCGAGGGCTCCCTGAAAGCAAGAGGGCGCAGGCCGGGCTGAGGAACCTCTCCCTCCACCAAGTGCACGAATCTTGTGCACTGTGCCTCTAGTCAGAGTATATTTAAAGAAGTCATTTTTATTTATTTTTATGTGTTAGTAGACTTTTTTTTCTTTTTAATATATTTTTATTGATTTCAGAGAGGAAGGGAGAGACAGAAACATCAATGATGAGAGAGAATCACTGACCAGCTGCCTCCTGCATGCCCTCTACTGGGGATGGAGTCCACAACCTGGGCATGTGCCCTTGACTGGAATCAAACCGGGGACCCTTCAGTCCAATGGCTGACGCTCTATCCACTGAGCCAAGCCGGCTAGGACTAAAGAAGTCATTTTTAATTTTTCTTAAGTCACCAACCCCTTGAAAGCTACAGATCTCTTCCCCAGAAAAAACTATACAATTACTTTCAAGTAATTTGTGGATCTCCCGAAAGCTATCTATGACCCCAAGGGTTTTGGACACCACAGGTTAAAAATTCCTAATCTAGAGAAAGGCAACCAAAGTGGCAAGATAAAATGAGGTCTGAAAACTACAATAAAGAGATTAGTTAAAGGTATATGAGAATATCTGGCTTTAAAGTATTTAGAACATAACAGTTACCCTCAAATTTAAAGCTTGGCCCCCCCCCCCCCCCAAAGTAGTACTCATGTTTTATTGCTGCAGATTACTGAACAAAGTATAGATTACAGGAAGGCAGACCAGTATTAGGAATAAGGAAGAATAGAGTCTAACCACCCATCTGCAAGGAATATAGATTCAGTATTATAAGACAGAGGATGAACCAGGACAACTCTAATGATCCCACATAAAGTGCATTCAGATACCAACAACAGAATGGGTCAAGAATTATTGGTAGGCATTAGTGAAAGAAGTAAAAAAAAACAAATAAAAACCTCTACCCTCACGATTCTATGTTTGGTTTGCAGAGATATCACAGTCACTAATATGGGAAAACATATTTTGAAAAGTAGCAATTATTTTTTCAACTAGTCTACTTTCAAAATCTCTATTAGAAAATATTAGTTCTCAAATTATTGAAACACAGCTATTGCTTTAACATCAGGTACCGAGCAATTTGAAATGTTGTTGTTGTTTTCCTTTAAAACAAACTTACTATTCCACATCATGATTAATACTAACCTGGAGCTGTTAAAAATCAAACCTGGTAGTCTCCAACGAACTTGAGACTTTACTGACAGATTTTTAATTCACCAAACAAACACTTACTTGACATCATATTAACAAGAGAACTCTGAATCAAACACTCTACTTGGTGAGGGATGGGAATTAGTTAAGCAACAGAGGAACAACTAAAAAATTAGAATTTGAAAAAGAACTTAAAAATTGCTATATTCTAATTTCATAAACATCCATATTCAAAAGTAATCTAAAGACTTTATTAGTATATCGGAAATTTCAAGATTGATAAATGACTACGTATGCAATATTCATTGATATTTGCAAATAACTACTTCTATGACATATTTTTTAATGTTTCAGGAAGTCTGTCATACATGCCTGTACACATTTATTGACATGTTTTCATAGCCTACTTTCACTAGAAACAAAAACAAAAACAAAAACAAAAATGAAGCAAAGCCAAACAAAACAAAAAAATAGCCTTCCAAAATGTAAGGTCAAATGTGAAAATGATGGGTAGGAGAAAATGTGTCAGACAATTAAGATAGTTTGGCAAATCTATACTCCATAAAAATAATTTTTGGAACTGCCTATTTCAGCTTAATATCCAATTATATAAAGGGGGTTAAAAAAAATAAAGGCAAATAGTATGGAGAAGACATTTAATAAAGTATTTTTAAAAACTTTGTGACATCATGTTTAACCAAATAATTAATCAAATAATGGGTTTTGAGAAAACTTCTCTTACAATAAAAGAAATACCTCAAAACCTCAATACCTACTTAAGGCTACTCTTGTTTTCAGATCTACTTGCTAGGCTTAGAAAAACCTGAAGTATCTTAAATGTTGGTACAATTTTCCAGGAAAACTGACTGCATGTTTATATATGCAGAAATTAGACACCTTTTTAAATGCCTCGGAAGTATCAAACAGAACTAGCTTTAAGGAAAAGACATGATATTAAACTAATGTCTCATAGGTAATCTTAGCAGTAGTCTAATCAGATTCTTAAATAACATCATGGAATTACCTGTGTTTATTTCCTCTGCAATTTCCAAATCTTCTATTTGAATCCTATGATCTAACATCTCTATAAAATGGTCTCTGATTTCTTCAGCTGACTCATCACCAAATTTATAATCACATAACATTACCGTGGATCCCGGAATGGGGACAAAAACCCGGTGAGGAAGGATGTGAAACTCTTTTTCAGAATCTAAAAGGAGAAGAAACATTATCAATATTTAGATAAGTCTGTCACTGGTATCAGTGCCATATATTTTGTAAGTAAATGAAAGTGTCATACACATACCAATAGAAATTTTAAAAAGTTGTTTTTATTCTCTAATTGACTTGACACAAGATTGCTGTTATTGAATTCTGCTTTACTTCAATATCCCTGGCCTCTGCAAGGGATCTAAATATTCCTGTGAAATATAAGCTTATCACTGCCTTCAGTATGAGGATGTTGTTGATTATATATTCTTGTATTAACCACCCTTCTATGAAAGAATAACCAGGAGAAAATTTTGTTCCTGGTTATTTTTCTTGTTTGTTTTAACTTTACAAACAATTTCCCCCTCTTCATGCAAGTATGGAGCCAAATTAGTGGCCCATCTATATCGAGTGTATAGAACATGACAGCATACATTTTTATACATGTATGTACAAAATAATCTCACCACTCACATAATCTACAAAGTGCTAGTCCCCTCTATCAAGCATGTGTATGACAGTAAGTTATGTTTTATATACTAACCTCACTACCAACTCCATCTTGCTTTCCTTTCATTTTCCCTTTGTCTCATTCTTATTACTAATATTTATTATCCTAATCATTAATCTTAATTAAGTTCTTAGTTACTCCTAGGGCCTTATTACATGCTGTACATAATTAATAATGCATACATATTCTATTTTTCAAATCAGGTTATATGCTTCTTGAGGGAAGGAATCTGGTCATTGCCTTGTATCTATCACATTGCCTTGAACAGAACAAATGCTTAAGGATTATCTAATAACTAGACATACTAAATGCTATAAAATAGAAGTAATATTCCTGGGACAACAATTAGTGCAACATATTGTCATAAATAGCGTTAAGTAATTTTTTGAAAAAATAATCTGGATCTAAATAAATAATGAAGAACTATGCTTCACTCTTCTTTGAATACTCACAAAGTAAAATATATTCCCCCCAATTTCTAACATCATCACTGGTCCACACAAACACAACTGGTTCTACACCATGATTCTAGTGAACTATCAACAAAGATCAAGATTTTGTGTAAAGAATGTATATGATTTTTAAATCTACCACTGTACAGGCCAACTAGAAAAGCAGGGCTCACTTTTATAGTAACCTTTTTTCTTGCCAAGAAACTAGTGGTAGTTTTATATAACTACAAACAGAAGACAAAGAATGTCTGCCAGGGGAAATGCAATGACTTAAATTATGTGTTCCTGCCATATTATACTTATCTGCTTTTCATATGAGAACAGGAAAAGTTTTACTCTTTGACCACACTGCCACCTATCTGTAAAATTACATTACTACAATTTGTTCTGCAGCACGTAAACTGTCCACACAGATGGTTAGAAATCTATTATTTTATTTGGGGCCAGTTTCTTGAAATAGGTTAAGTTCAAAACTTTCAAAAATAGCTATAATGTATATGTATAATTGGCATGCAAACTGCACTCATTCTAGTTTTGCCTACAAAAGGGATAAATATACTATAAAATTAAATGTTAAAAGAATTGGTTATGATGAATTTTAATTACTCATTAAAAAAGAAAAGGCTCTTATAATTTCAAATTAAAAAGTTAATTTAGCCATTTAATATCTAAATAAAACCAAGTTTTCTAATTGGTCTGAGGCTAAAAATGGGAGGGGAACCTTTGTAAAAAGACATCTTAAATAGCATTCCAAAAAGTAGTCCTTTAGGAATAGTCCCACAGCAGAGTATCTAGTTCACCATTATTTCAAAAAGTTCAAAACAGAAAAAAACATTTAAATTTAAGCCAATATGATAAGAATTGGGTTTCTGCTGATTAATATCGAGTCCCAATTCATACTGAAGTATTAGAGTAATTTTTGTAAAATAGGTGCTATCTAAGCTGACTCTTAAAAGATAAGTAGCCATTTGCATGAAGGCTGAAACCATGACCACAGGCAAAAAGGATTGCACATGTCTGAGAGGACAAGTGATATGAATGGATATGGTGTAGCAATGGAAGAAAGTAAGAGGTTTCAAAACTGATGGCCTCATTTTCATAAGGAGTGGGTCGTCTTCTGAGAGTAAGTTGCACAGGATTGAATGGAGGCTAATACAGAATAATGAAGATGGTCTGAAATACTTTCTAAGGGGAAGACCCCACTAAGTAAAAAGAATGACTGGAATATATATATATATATATAAATATATAAATTTTTTTTATAGTCATTGAAGTATTAGGTTCTTTCATCTGGAGAGCCAGAATCTAAAGACTATATTTGCTTTAAAATAAGGAATTTAAAGTTAATATGCCCTTTGCAGACTTCCTGATGCATGTAAAAATATTTTATGGCATATATTCTACATTTTACAATTGTACAAATCTACAAAATCTTACAAGCATAGGAGAAACATAAACTAAGTAAAATGAGTACTAAATCTAAGATCTAACAACTTGGTGTATATATATTCAACTTCACTTTTACATTTGTTTATATTATTATATTTGCAATTTAGTCTTTTATATTGATATCCTAAGATCAACTTACATGTTAGTGGAATAAGTATCCTGTTACTAAAGTTTTAAAAATATATATTTACACTTGGGTTTCTTTTGGAAATATAATGCTACACTTCCCAAAAATTAAAGTTAAGAAATTTTAAGACAAGTATCATTAATTAATTCTCTTCCTTCATTATCTCTAACATAACAGCAACTACTATTTACTGAGGGCTTGACTTAACAACTTTAAAAACATCATCTTGTTTAATCTCACAGGCTCAAAAAGTAGCTACTATAAGATATGGATGTTTATATAAGATAATGGATGTTTAGATAGGCTGAATCATTTGCCCAAAGTCACTTAACCAGTGGCAAAATAGACAAGGAAACCAAGACATTTAGTCTCTGCTCTTTCTATCAAACTACAATGCCTATTCTCTTCACATAGCCTTAAAGGTTACTCAATTACAGTGAAAAATATTTTTTTATTTTTAAAAAATTAATTTATAACTACTGCAACTGCTCTTTGAAGCAATTAATCATACTGATTGGACATCAGCAAAATTTTCAATACTCACTCACTCACAAAATGATACCAGGACAGTCATATAATACCATTTTTATAAAGCATTTTTAAATAGAACAGAGTAATTAAATAATATGTGTGATTAGATAGATCTTTGGCATTAATGACGGATGTATGTCCACATCCCTGAAAATCTCAAAAGTCACAGTTTATCTGTAATCATACTGTTGCTCAGAAAGTATTTAACACCACGAGAGCTATACCATCCTCAAGGTCAAGTAGCAAAAACAAAGCCTTTAAGGAGATGAGGTTGGTAGGCTGACTACGTGGCTAAGTTACCAAGTTTCACACAAATATCTCAACCCATTGCTGCACGTAAGAATCAAATTCATGTCTCAGCAAAACTATACATTTCACTATCAGTGGACAGAACTTCAGGGTTATTTGTGAAGTACCGCAAGGACAAATGTGAAATCTGGCAATTCCAGGAATCTATCATATTAGCAATATAAAAAAGATTGTGATTAGCCTACCAAACTACTATACTATTTACTAAAAGAAGTTAATTTTGTAGAGCTATGCTTTCTTCTATAAATATAAAAATATTCCCTTAACAAGCTAATATATATGTTTCAATTATGTGTATATTCAACTGTGAATTGCTAATCTACTCACATTTGAATGGTAGCAAGGTGAAGATGAATATGTAAGCTCTAAAAAGCATACTCAATATTCTAATTTTCTTTTTGAATAAAATAAATATTTTTAATACAAATTACAAAAATGGTAGAAATTATTTATGTTTCACAATAGATATAATAATTATAATAAATAGGTTATGACACCATGGCCCAAACCTTTTAAATCTAATTAAAGTCTGTTAGAGTAATTGATAAGAAGTATATAAACTAGTACACAAAAAACTTGGTAAGAATAATATGTCAATTGGATATAGACCACAAATTAATACCTATTAAATAATCTATTATATAAATATTCAACATTAATAGATGTTTTGATTATGAATGAATTATTTTTAAAACCTTATATTAATTTTTAAAATTAACTTTAAAATGTTAGCAATTTTCTAGTCTGGCAGAAATTCATGCATAATTTTTTTTTTAAATCTTTCTAGAAATTTGTTTTAAATATTGATAGATTTCCTATTATAAGGTGTTCACAAACTATTTTTTGTGCAACTGAAAATTTTTCATTCAATAAAAAAAGATGACATATCATGAAAGATAGATATAAATATGGAAAATGACATATCTATTACATCTTGACATCCTATCTAGTGAAATCATGCCCCCAAAAAGTACTTAATTTTATACTCATAACTTTTTTTTCTGGAATTTCATTCAAAAGCAGATCCTCAAATAGTATTTCACAACGATCGGCAACTGTATTCAATATATCTCTCTTCACTGCCTATGAAAAAACAAGACAAAGCAAATTACAATAAGAAATAAAACTGTTACTTTAGATTTGTATTATTTTATTATTAAGAAACCCTCACATAACTGGTCTCCCTATATAATCACATCCACTAAAATAACTGATACATCATTCCTTTTTAAATGTCCACTTAACATCCTAATTAACATTAATAGTTTAAAAGCAAATTTGCCTGCCTCATATAAAGAATAAATAAAACCAAATAAATAAATGCAGTTTTTCTGCATCTAAACAAATAACGCTACTATTCCGAACTAGGAAATGTATAACTATAAAAAAAGTGCTAGTCGTCCTTTTTAAAATTTCTAAATTACAGAGATTATAGAATACTACCTAATCATTCTCCCCATAAATACTTTTCCTATTATTTAAAAAGTTCAAGCCCTGACTGGCTTAGTTCAGTGGATAGAGCATCGGTCTCGGACTGAAGGGTCCCAGGTTCGATTCCAGTCAAGGGCATGTACCATGGTTGCAGGCACATCCCCAGTAAGGGGTGTGCAGGAGGCAGCTGATTGATCTTTCTCTTTCATCGATGTTCCTAACTCTCTATTCCTCTCCCTTCCTCTCTGTAAAAAATCAATAAAATATATTTTAAAATAAATAAATAAAAAAAATTTAAAAAAAATAAAAAGTTCAATTTCCCTTAGAGAAAATGATTTCCAATGTACTAATAAGTCACACCGTGGAACACGTAATGAATCTGTATAATCATCACTTTAAAAAAGACATAAAATAGACATTCTACATATGAAAATCTTGTGATCAATTACATGGTATAATTGTATTGCCTAACCGACTGGGCCTTTATTAGTCAAAGTTAAACTAATAATAATGAAAGCTGATACTGAAAAAATAAAATCTTAGGATTTTTGAATAGTCATGCTAACATGCTTCTGCTTTTCATGCACCAGTTATTCCTCCTTCTGTACCTGCACAGCATCCTTAACCTTGGGTTTATTGCTATGAATGTAAGCTCTGCACTTCACAGCGCCCTTAAGGTTTACAGAGCCGCTGCAGATCTGGACGGTGGCTGTGGATCTGTGGTCTGAATTCAGAAGCTGAAAGACAAAAATCACTTTAAGTTCTAATAGCCAACATTATATTAACTATATAAACTACATTAATAACTACAAGAAATATTTAAACATTATAGGAACCATTTCGTAAAGTGATAAGACATTTTAGAGTTTAGGCTGAACCAAGTGTTTAAAAATTTTCTCCATAAATTATTAAAAGGCCTTCAGATTTCTCCTTATATAAGCTATATGTCATTTGTTGAGCATTTGAGTATAGTTAAATACTTTATGTTAAATTTTTAATAGTTTTAGGCCAAAAGACTCAAATAGGTTTTATTAAAATAATGTTTGTGAATAACTTTCCTAGAACTGGACATTTTTTACAGTCTCTTACATCTCTAAAATTCTTTGACTCTCTAATTATAAACATAAAAACAGAAACAATTTCATTAAGGTTATTCTTAGAAATAATGTACTTTAGATAAGAAGGATTTTAAAATATTTACCAACTGTGTTAACACTCTGACATCAAAAGAACAACTACTTGCTTGAGCATTTCCTCTAGGTTTTTTCTAGAAAAAAAAAAGTTAAAACTTGATTACTGAGATCAAAATGAACCATAAAAGACAATTTAGGAACTATCCTACACATACTAAGTAACTTAGAAGGAAAACGTATTATTATTTATTTTATTTTAGCTATTTCTATAGATATGTTACTTTGTTTATTCTATAGCAATCGATGTATGTTGAGAAAAAACAAAACATTAATTCCCTACTTTTATTTCTCTGCAGTGGTTCTCAACCTTCCTAATGCCCCAACCCTTTAATACAGTTCCTCATGTTGTGGTGACCCCCAACCATAAAATTATTTTCGTTGCTACTTCATAACTGTAATTTTGCTACTGTTATGAATCGTAATGTAAATATCTGATATGCAGGATGTATTTTCATTGTTCACGACCGACAGGTTGAGAACTGCTGCTTAAAGTAAGGACTAGCAAACTGTGGTCTATAGGTCAAATCCAGACTACCACCAGGCTATATAAATAAAGTTTTACTAGAACACACTAAGATCATTCATTTATGTATTGTTTGTGGCTGCTTTCATGCCACATCAGAACTGAATAGCTGCAACAGAGACCAAACGGCCCTCAAAGTCCAAAATATGTACCATTTGGTTACTTCTGCAAAGTTCGCTAACCCTTGCTCTGAAAGGAGAGATCACCAAAGTTTCTCTTCAGATCAAAGCTATTTTAGGAGCCCATAAAGACCCTTCTTTAAAATGGCAAGTTAGTCTTCAAACTGTCATAAGGGCAGGATTCTGATTATTTCCGAAATAATCTCATAATTTTATGAGAAAAACGTCTGCCCTTTACTTCAAAAGGCCTTAGAAATAAGAAGTAGGTGAAAACTGTTTTCATGAAGGAAAGGACTATAGAACTAAGGATACGTCATCTTTTGTTTTTCCTTAATGCAAATAATTTCATAAGTAAGATGATTTTCTCTGAACTCACCTGTCCTTCCAGTAGGTCACAATCTTCAGCTTTAACTTGTCCATTAATCAAATAAACACCATTTTCTATTTGCTTCGCCCAGCGTGCAAGTCCATTCTTATAAGAAACACAACAGGGATATCTTTCAAATATCCATCTCAAACTCCCCACAATCAACTTTTTCCACCTAATTCACTGGCGTAGTGAAAAATCTCTATGTAGCAGTTTTTTGCACCTTACTCATCCTACGTAATAAAAGCCTAGTATGCTAAGTGACCAGTCGACTGTTAAACCAATCAAAGCATAATATGCTAATGATATGTTAAGGCCACTCAACCACTCGCTATGATGTGTACTGACCACCAAGGGGCAGACAGTCGACCAGTCGCCATGATGTGCACCGACCACCAGGGGGCAGACACTCCAACTGGTTAGCTTGCTGCTGGGGTCCGGCCTATTGGGACTGAGCGAGATAGGCTAGACATGCCCTGGAGCCCTCCTGCAATCCCTCCCTCACCCCAATCGTGCACTGGTGGGGTCCCTCGCCCTGGCCTGCACCCTCTCGCAATCTGGGACCCCTCGGGGGATGTCGGAGAGCCAGTTTCAGCCCAATCCTGCAGGCCACTCTCCTCAGGAGGGCGCCCGACACAGGGCTCATGGCTGACAAGCGCTGCTGTGGCAGTGCAAGCCTCTCCAGATCGGGACTGATTGGGCGCAAGCCCGCCGCTGGCGCAGTGGGGCCAGGATGAGTGGGAGTGAGCTGCAGGCAGCTTTGGACTGTGGGTTTTGGCCCAATCCCCACAAGCCACCCCGAGGGACCCCCCACCCATGCACGAATTTTTGCACCGGGCCTCTAGTATTTAATAATAGTTTTTCTAATCTTTATCTCAAACTACCATTTACATCACTGACTTAGAAGGTTGAATAACTACATGACCATAGTTAAATAAGTTCAATAATTCCCATTATCTTTTTAAAATGTGAGAAGAGAAAAAGCCTCAAATATATAAAGCAGTATTTGCCTCCTTCAACAGAAGAGAATTGAGACATAAACAAAAGAATGATACAAAAATTCTTAAAAAGGACTGAAAAAGAGAAAACAAAACTAAAGATCATGCAAAAGCAAAGTAGGGGGGTAAGAGATCAACCAAAGGACTTGTATGCATGCATATAAGCATGACCAATGGACATAAGACACTGGGGGATAGGGGAGGCTAGGGGATTGTCTGGGGCGGGGGGGGAAAAAATGGACACATATGTAATACCCTTTGTATTACTTTAAGCAAAAAAAAAAAAAAAAAAAAAAAGCAAAAAGACCAAACAGTATACCTTCTTACATAACTATATTTTACAATGTACATAATTATGTTAATTAACAAATATTTATGGAGCACCTATTATGCTAAATATGTTAGTATTACGACATTGTCCCCCCTCTAAATTTGTAATCTGGGGTAATAAATTAGTCACCTCTAACAATATCATTACAATTAGGATGCAATTTTTGAGGATTATAAAATGAACAGTAGACAACCAGAATAAAAGCAAATTATCTATTCAGCAATCACTACAGAAAATTCATTTAACCCTGATACCTTTGTATTTTTCTCCAGAGGATAGCTGACAGAAGTAGTAGACAGTGGGATGTGAATATTAATATGAACTGTACACTCTAAAGAAAGCCATGAAGTTGATAGTCCATTTTGATACTTCCAATCTGCTGGTTTTGCTGAACTCTTTAGTGAGAGAGGGGTAAAAACATAAAATGTGTGCTTTAGGCCATCATATGTAAAACCTAATAACTTGAACAACCTGATAGCTAAGACATTTAGCCAAATTCTTTCATCAAAGGGCAATGGGTTACAACTAAATAAAAACAAAGCATGCAGTTCATTTTGGTAATCTTCAGAATACTGAACTTGGTGACTCCCCCCTCCAGCGGTTGGCTGGAAAAGACCAGATGGTCCATGTTTAGAATTCTGAGGATCCTCTGGTCCTCTAGCTCTCATCTATAGCTTCAACAATGTTAATTCTGAAGCTTCTGATGTGAAGCAAATAGCCACTGAGTGGCTTTCAGGTGCCAGATGTTCTCCATTCTGTCCCATCCACTCTAACAGAATTCTAAAAAGTTACTTTTTCACATTGCTTTTAAACACCTTAGTAAATGTTAGTTTGGATTCTGCTGAGTGCAAATAGCTTGCTTACTAGGCACTATAGCTACCAAAAGCCCACATACTTTCATTGCTAGCCCCTCAAATATAATACTAAACACATAAACAAGGCAGGGGGAGTTTAATAAACATATGTTAACAACTAAAAAAAAAACAAACCATAAATTTTCCTTGGCTGTAATGAAATATTTCAAAATAAAAAACTATAGGTGGTTGTGGACATCAATAGGAGGGAACAGCATTGAAATTTTTTAAAACTAAATAAAGAATTGAATTTTGTTTTAAAAATAGTTTGCAACACAGAAAAATCTTTAAAGAGCAATTTTTCTTACCTTTGGATCATGGATATCATAAGTTCGACAAAGTATTCTTTACTAATTAAGGATAAAAATGACCCCAAAAATAATTCTTGATAATCAAAAGAAAATAAATCATCAAAAAATAAAATAACTATAAGCATCCAACAGTTTTTACAAAATTATACCATTTTACACACTTAAAAGATATATACACATATGTATGTAATTATACAAATATATATATACATATAAATTGCTCTGACTATAGTTGTGGTGCTTTAAACTAGTTCTTAGGGCTTATAAATCCTGCTAATCATAATGAATAGAAAGCACTTGCTCAAATACACACCCTGTATAACAAATAGGTGTGCTGTTTTGGATGGAGTCAAGCCTGAGAATCTTTATCGGGTCAAGGGGCCTGTACATGAAACTTTCTAGTTAAATATACAAAGGAGTTTAAAGCCCAGCTTCTGCAGGAGCGATCACTGTTTGAATTTTGTCTTTCCCAAATCCTGATTCATTAGGCCCTTGCATTGCTTCACTCTCTTCCTAAGGCTGTCGCTTGGGAGGCATTGTTGCCCTGGCAAGATGTATAGGAAAGGGGTCCCTATAACGGGCTTTTAGTGCCATTTGATCTTGGCTAAAGTCCTAAAAATTTCTTAGATACCCTAACTGTCCAGTTCAGTGCACCTGTGCTTTGAATTGAACATTTTACCAATAGCAATTGGAGGTAAAAATTTAACATAATAAAGCATTACTTTGCCTAAGCTGTCAGCTGGGGTATCTACCTCTCTATAGGAGACCTACTGTGCTGGTAAACAGTTCTCATTCCCTAGTCCTTGACACCTCTGTCAAACTCTTTGCAACCTTAAAGCATGACTATATTAGTAGTAGTAGTAGTAGTAGTTGTTATTGTGCTAAGTATGTATTATTTACAGAAAAACTTAAAAACTAAGCTTATTTTTTAAATAATGATTTAAATAAATGTTTGGAGGGAAAACTTATAGGAACATTATTTTGGTATTATATACATTTAAAACATAAACACCTAAATAAAAGATACTTTTTTGTAGAAGAGCAAATATGAAGTGTCACTCGATCTGAGACTTCCTCCTCTGTGAAATTCCACAGTCTCTTTTTATTCATAGATTTTTCCACAGCAAATACTAGCTGAAATAGAGGAAAACACACACCAATTGAATGCAAAGTGAAAGAAGAAAAGTGAATGCAGAAAAACATACAATTATAATGTCCCTAAGATCCCATCTATTTAAAATTTCATGATTCTATAATTAAATTGTCTTTTCTTCAAAAGAAAGAGTGAAACTGATTACTAACCATTTGAGTTCCATTTACACAATTGGTTTTTTAAATAGAAAAATATAATCCATCACCATTAAGAATCAACTGGACATAAAAATTAATTTGGGGCAAACATTTAAGTGAAATATAGAATAAAGACTTTATTATAATAAGAGTGAGAAAGGACAAGTAATTTTTAAACTATAAAAATGGAGCATGTCACCCATTTGGCATTTCTCATTTAAATGTAACAAAAAATCTAAGGCAATATATAAGGACACATACAATATAGTAGCAAAATAAATTAAAAGTGAAAAAAAATAGAAATAGTGACATATATTTATACCAGAAATAAGAATTATGGAAGGGCATACTTGATATATGGAGAGGAGTTATAAATTTGGCTCTAAGCTTTCTAACAATAATGTGCACAAAGAAACCTAATTTGTTACCTACTTCACATGGTCCATAAAGCTGAAAACAATTGATCAGAAGAGGCACAAGTTTCTTCATAACGATATCAAAAGAAATTTCTTCAAAGACAATATAATGTGATATAATGAACAAAGTTCTTAACAATGATCTTATGAAAGACACTGGCAAGTTTTATAATGTTCTTTCTTATAGTGTTCCTCAATGCTGGCCAATGGAAACAAAGTTAGATAATTCAAACTCAATAATTTCTGAAATACAGCATTTCTAAAGTTTCATATGATTCTTAGGAACAGAGATATAAAAGCAACAGGAAAGAAGATCTGACTATATTTCTCTAGCACTAAGTCCACATTCACCCCCATTCAATCCAGCACCAACCACAAAAGGATGCACAACCTTTATGTTATTAATACATAAAGGTTTTGATCATATTCCAAAATGCCATTAAGACCAACTGTAATATACATTTATTAGAAACTAGAGGCCCAGTGCATGAAATTCGTGCATGGGAAGGGCCCTAGGCCTGGCCAGTGATCAAGGCCTTCCAACTGCTGGCCAGGGCCTCCCTTCCCCAGCTGCCGGCCAGGGCCGCCCCCTGGAGGTCAGCACACGTCATAACAAGTGATAGAACTCCTGGTCTCGTGGTCAAACTCCCATGGGGACACTTTGCATACTAGCTATATATATATATATATATATAGAAGATGGGAAAAATAGCAGAAGGTTGAATAACTTCCCAGGGGAGGGAAAAATCTCCATTGTCTTCCCTTACTCCCTTAGGTACAAATATCAAAAGTTTGACAGTGGACATTTGATAGTTAAGGTTATTAAACTGGTAGCATCTGGAATTCTTAGTTGCACTTTTTTACTAGAAAAAGTTTGGGGGATTTTCTGTGGGCTTTTGCACTCTTTAAGATTATGAGGTCTGCTTCTCGGTGGAGGAAATAACTTTTTTAAAATTTATTTATTTAAAAATATATTTTTATTGATTTCATAGAGGAAGGGAGAGGGAGAGAGAGACGGAAACATCCATGATGAGAGAGAATGATTGATTGGCTGCCTCCTGCACAACCCCGCTGGGGATCGAGCCTGGCATGTGCCCTTGTCCGGAATCGAGCCCAGGACCCTTCAGTCCACAGGCCGATGCTCTATACACTGAGCCAAACTGACCAGGGTGGAAAATAACTTTTTAAAGAGATGAAAGCTGGCTGTAGAGTTTACTTTAGGTTGTCAGGGGAAACAGCTTGTGAACCTTCATATTTACATGTAGACATTAATACCCAATTCACTGATGTGGGAATAAAATCAAAAACAGGGGATTCATAATACTCAGTCCAGGAATAAAGAATAAATATCTTATTATTGTGATGACTTTATGTTTTACTCTCAGGATACTGAGAGAATTGAACAGAAGAATCACAAAGCCTATTAATTTCACATTATAGCAATCACTTGGAACTAAATGAAAGGTCTAGCAGAATATTGCTATTGTATGACAAAAACCGTTAAATCATTATAACTTGTTTCATAAAAGTAAAAAACCTTTAAATGAAGACTATTTTAACATCTGTAGCTTTGATTAAAAATATAAATATTGGCATTACACACAAGATACCAAGCAATTGGGTGGGAAAGCTATGTCAACATAATCTATAATAAAAGCATAATACGCTAATTAGACCAGAAATCCTTCCGGATGGGATGTCCTTCCAGACGACCTTCCGGAGGAAGCTGGGGCACGGGTCCCGGGTGCCTGCTGGCGGCCAGAGGGAAGCCCGGGTCCCAGGTGGCAGAGCAAAGCCGGTGCCAGCAGCCGGGGGAAGGAAGGCCTACTCTTGCATGAATTTTGTGCATTAAGCCTCTAGTCTCAGTATAAAGAATTATGAGACAGAAATTCAAATATGTATACAAAGGTATACATATATACAAATAGCATCCATTAAAATAAGATGTAACTTGATCATATTAAGAATTTTTATATTTTATACTTACTCTGCGCAGGGTATTTTGAAAATCATTTCCCATTTCTAATGTTGTAATAATAAATACTCCAAGAACTAAAAGTCCCCCAGGTAGCATTCTGGATACCTAAAATAGAAATATAGTATTAGCTAACATAAACATTTGGTATTATATGCAATCCTTTGTGTCTGAGAAGCTAAATATTAAATCAGCAAATCCCTACTGAGTATCAACTATATGAACAGCATTGAGGTAGGAGCTTTGAGAAACGGGTTAAAATACTGAGAAATGGATGATAACCAAGACAATGGGTGTCATTATGAACACAATCTTCCTAGAGTATCCTGAATTTAACTCTAAAATAACCTTGTAAGTAAAACCATTAAATAATGAAACCCATTAGCTACAAAAATAAACCAACCCCTTTCTCATGAAATCAGAGACTGAAATATCTTGTAAGATTTTTTTTCAATGGCTTCCGCTATCAGCTAAATAAAGTATCAATTTTTCCTTAGACTGCTATTTCAGACTAAAATCTGGATAATCGGATATCCTTCATTTGACACTACTTACTCTGAAATATCAAAATGCCAGTCAAAACTTCTCACTGTTCTCCATACATATGCCTAGGTTTTCTAACTCTATACCTTTACTCAGGCTGAGAGCTGACTTTTTCTTATATTTTTGGGGACCCTCTGGGAGGTCCTTAAGGGAAGAAATAATTCTCAACTATCACTGTATCCCTATATTTAGCAGAATACTAGAACCTGGAATTTGATCAGAGGGTGTCTGACTTGAAAATCCATTGTTTCCTCTTATCTAGATTTACCTGTTTTTAAAACCTATTTATTGATATAATTGAGTATTTATGTATTTTGTAATTTTTCTTTACTCTAAAATAATACTGGTTAAAAATCCTAGCAAGTCTTTCTGTGTTCACTGGATTATTTGTTTAGGATAAATCTCTTGAGGTGCGTTACTAGTTTAAGAAGTTATGCATATTTTTAAAGTGTGTGACACATACTACCAGTTTGTCTTCTGTAATATCTATTATTTCCCTTCACACAACTGTGGCTACTTTTTAATGTCACATGGACATCTTTCTACCATCTAGACTCAGTTAGGTTATCTTTCGTTTAGTTAATATATGAACAAATTGATCACAAAGTTAAGTCTTCAGAAATTAGATACCATAATATAATCCCTAATAGGTTGGTATAGCCACTGCTGGTGGCTCCCACTGGCTTCATCAATTCTATTTATTATAGTAACACAAGCTGACAATACAAAGAATGAAGTTTTCGTATTTAGCATGGGCAACTGCATACCTTTTCAAAACAGTAACATAAAATTAACCATTTCTTTCTAGAGGCACAAAAAATTGAATATATTTTGCTACATAAATTTTTATGTTTCTGTATGCGTATATACACATATACTTATGCATCTAAGTATATACACACATATATATTAGCTACATAAATAAACACTTTGCAATGAATATTATAAAAATGAATGTATTACTCACAATTCAGGTATTCTTGAATATTTTCAGTTGAAAATTCTCACAAAAAATGATTTTTAAAAGTGCCTATAGACACTTATGGCATACAAAGGGTTAAAATTAATTTCTAAATTACTGGCAGATCATATTACCTCCTTCTCAAACTAGGGAGCTCTGAAACTTTACCATAGAGCTACTGTCTACCAAACAAACTCCTCACTTCTTAGGATGGGACTCCAAAGCCATCCATAACTGGCCCCTTACAGTCTTATGTATGTATAACTGTATTCTTTTATATATCCCGTATTTCAATTATACCTAATTGCTTGCTATTTTCCTAACATACATTTAACTTTAATGCCTTCAGGTCATTCATACATACCTTCCTTTGGACACTGAATTTGTTCCTTTACTTCTACTGGCAAAGTCCTATTCATTTTTCGAGTTCAGAGCCTTCTACCAAACTGTCTGAATCCATCCATTGGCAGGTAGTATTTAGTTATTCCCCCTCTGTATTTCTGTAACATTTTTCTATTTTTATCTCATTTCTCTTATAACTGGTTTGTGCAATGACTTTTGCTTTGGTTAAAGCATAAATTCTGAGGATTTTTAAAAAATTTAATCATCATTTGATTGCTTCAGTGACTAGATTAAATCTTTAAAACAATCTGACCAGAAACTATATTATCAATAACTAGTATTATTTTAAAGTTATATTTAAAGAAAAGCTGAAAATAAGCTAAATGACCATAGTAGGAGATAAGTTAAAAAACACAACAGATAAAAATTAACAATGGAAAAGCATAGCATATAAGATCAAAAAGTCAGACTGCCTGGGTTCAAATCCCAGTTCCACTACTAATTCTGTAATCTTGGGTAGGTTACTTAACTTCAAGTAAGAAAATGAAAGTTGTGAAAACTTAAGAACGAGTACTCTGAAATCCTACTCTGGTAATCTGAGGATAAAGTGCTTTTATTGTGTCAGTCAATAAACACAAACTTAACTATATAAGGAGAAAACTACGGTGACCTGGTTAGCATGTTCTGTGGCCCATTCTTCATCCAAGTTATCCACCTTATCTTTGGGATGTTTGAGGTTCTCATTGTTTTCCTCTTTCGGTGGTGTTCTAGTGGCAAGAATCACATAATCCTTTTGTGAAGAACACTTAAAAACAAATTAGAAAAACTTATTAGAGTGATATCTCACTGAGGAATGCAAAGCTCTTATGACGTACAAAAAAAGTAATATTTATAACAGCTTAAGTTGTTAATGTCTATAAAATAATGGAATCAATTTTCATAAATATGATTACAACACTTCCCTCACATGTCATCTTTTAATATATTTAATATCAGCCTCTTATTTATTTGGACATCCAAATGTGAATCACATAGTGGTCACTAAAAATGACTTACTGGATGAGTAAATGAACTGCATTTAAATCAAAAGAAAATAAATATGCTTGGTCAATTTTCTAGTTACTATATTTATTTCCTATATTATTTGAACACATTGGTGGTTCAGTGAAATAAAGCAACAAATGACCTTATGCATCTTACTTTCATTGAAATGACAAATATCAACAGAAACTAAAAAACAAAAAGAAAAACAAACGAACAAAAAATGACAATAGTGGGAAACCTGCATATATGTGTCCACAGAAAAACAAGGGGACACATAAGTGAAGTGCTATCAGATTTCTGTTCCTCAGTTTAATAACAGTTAAATGGTAATCAAAGCTTGGAAACCCAAATATAAATTTAGGGACATTTAATAGCCTAGTGTTATTACAGTGGAAGGTTCCTATAAAGAAAGAATGAAAATAAGGCTGATAATACAAGTTAGTATGTTGTCATCCTCAGACATGACCTGAAATTCCCATCATTAGTATCATCTTGGACTAGAAAAGAAAGACAGAGAACTTATTTCTATAAAAGTTATTTCCAGAAAGTTACATTCAAATGTACACAGGAAAAGGTAGGTGCTGATTAAGAAAGCTTTTCCTTCTCAGAAAATCTATGACTTTGGAAAGAAAATGACCCTAGAAGTAGGAAACAGATAAGCTTGAGGGGAAGAAGAGAAAAATGATGAACCCTGGCATAAAGAGGAAGAAGGAACCTGTAGAAGAGCAGAAGGAATGAAAAGGCAGCATGAAGCAACACCAGAAGGAACATCCTAAATTGGGAGACGCATTTGTGAGAAACCGTCTGTGTGCACTAAGGAAAGTTTGGAAGAGGGTATTTCTCACTGAACTTTTGTTTCATTGAACCCATCTTTCGCTAAAACTCTTCTTCCCTTAAATTAAAAAAATAATAATAATGGGAAGTAAAGAACCTTAAATAAAAAGCTCCTAGCAAAAGGAAAACTATATTAAATACTGAGTATCTGGAATAAAAACGAAGTTCAGATTGTACTGCCAAGAGAGGCAGGCTGGCCATCTCATGAGCGGCCTCTCGGGATGGGACTACTGGGTGAACGGTGCAGGGTCTGCCCTCTGATTACAAGTTAAGAATCAGGTTTGTGACCATGAAGGTGTGACCGGGAGAGTCATGGGAATATGGACAGCATCAGAACAAGGAAAGTTCGTTCTGTAGTTTGAATACTCTAAGCCAAGGCATCATGATAAAATACCCAGAACTAGAGCTCTGGACAACAGAGCTTCATTTGCTAACAGGCCTCAAACTCAAGCCCTTGGGCCACAGTGCACTTTCCCCACAACAGTGTTTAGATGGATGCAGGCAGTTTGTCTATGTAACTCTCTTTTGTTGTTGCTGCTGCTGCTTTGTATTGCGAATGAGTCCTCCTTGCTTAGCAACACAGTCTTTGGTGCTTATGCTTTCTCAAGTAACTGTCCAAATCTCTATTCCATTTTGTGCTGACTTTTAAAGGCTTAACTTTATGGGGGAAATAGAATGTGCATAATTTTCAAATTTCTCCCACCTCTTCCACTGAATTAAAAAAAAATCAATATGATAAGTATTATTACAAAATATAAGATGACTGTTGCTATAAGACGAGATAAGACAAATTACAATGGGAATAAAACTGTCAAAAGCTACTTCTATAAAGAACTGAACCACCAAGAATTAATAAAGATTAGAAGGAAGTACAAAACACTTTGGAAACACACACAAACATACAGATAATGTGATCAGTAAAAATTCTAATTTTGAAGTTTCCACATTATAAATTATTTTTACATTGTCAAATGGGAATGTGTTCTGACTTGAGCACATCTGGACTAGGTTTGTCTTACTGCTCCACATTTTTCCTCAAAAAACCATTTTAAATTTACTTCTACATTCCATCCCTCCATCCCCTAACCTTGAGTTTATTGTTAAATAGCATGGTTCAACTTTAAATAAACAGGTAATTTGTTCTGTCAATAAATACGCAGTAAAAGATACATACCTGTCCTATTAGAAGACCTGAGACAAAAGACTTTCCTTGGAGATTGAGGTTTGAGAGATACTGGCCAATAGTCTCTTCTACAATGTAGGTTCTTCCCATTATTGAGAACTAATTCAATCTCCTAAATTACAAGAAAAAAAATATAGTATTACTAGGAGGGAAAATATAACCTGCAACATTTTCCACATGGAGGGAAGTAGAGAGAGAAGTGGTACTATCTCAATGCTACCCTATGCTTTGCAGTGATTGCTTATTAAATAGGATATTCTTACTTGCAAAGTTCAAATGTAGCTTCAAAATTCTCTACACAGTGCTGCAGTAAACGACTAACCGACCAGAGTTGATATGAGAAACTTAATGCCACATTTGCGATAAGGGAAAGGACATTAAATTAGTAGTCAACACACCTAAATTTTTATTTCAGATGTACTACTCCTTAGCTGCGTTAAGTAATCTATTGCTAAGCCTCAGTATGCATTTCTCAAACAGAAAAGATAAAATTTTTTTAATCCTCGCCTGAGGATATGTTTTTATTGATTTTGAGAGAGAGCGAGGGAGAGAGAAACATCGATGTGGGAGAAAAACATTGACTGGTAGTCTCCCATGAGTGCCCCAACCAGGGATTGAAGCTGCAACATAGGCATGTACCCTGATTGGGAATCGAACTGGCAACCTTTTCGGGGTACGGGATGACGTTCCAACTGAGCCACATGGCCAGGACAAGGATGATAATATTTGATTTGCTCACTGGGAGGTAGAGAGAACCTAAGCATACTGTGAAGAACTACTACTACATGCTAGAAGTTGTGGCAGGGGAGATGGTATGAAGGTAGTACTTGATGTCTGCTCTTGAGTAACTCATAGTACAACAAGAGCTACTGAAGTAAATAGCAATGCAATAACATTTGTAGAGCTTCTACTAAAACAAAGAAAGGTAATGTAACCTGCCCAAGTGACAAAGCTGGTAAGTGGCAAAGGTACGATGTAAACTCAGTCTGGTTCTAGAGTCCATGCCCTTAAATACCATGCTCATAATGAGGAATCAAACTCAGTTTCTCTTCTAAACCATGATCAAGGGTAACTCCCGACTGCGGATGAGAACCAGTATATTCCTCTTACTGCCCTGTGCTTCTTTGATTTGATTTTCTGTAGCTAAAAAACAAAGATGCCAACTAAAAGAGTAGGCAATAACGAACGAGGATCTCAAAGAGTTCACATTCGGTGTGGGAGACAAAAATGTAAAGAGATGATATTCCAACATGTTATAAAACAGATATAAAAGACTACAGGTACACAGTTGCAGCATATTGAACAGAGATAATAGTCATGTGAGCTTTATAAAAAAATTTCACTCTGAGTCCGCACAACAAAGCCGAGGCAGCTAGAGACGCGCTGGGGTGGCGTATCTGACACCAGCAAACGGTCACAGTGATTTTGCGTTCCCTAAAACAAAAGCCCAGAGGATTGGTTCCACTTTGACATGGCCTGGTGGATGCTGTTTTTGTTGTCGTTGCTGCTGTTTTTCCAGGAGCCTGCTCAGTTTTGTCTCGAAATGCATTAAATTTCTTCCGACCTCTTTTCTCACAACTGTTTGCACACAATGTTTGTTTAGAGTAAGTCTAGAACTGCCTGTCTAAATCATTAAAGCCTCCATAAAGGGAAGGGCTTTTGACTTTCATAGTGCCTTAAAGTATGCATTTCTGTGTTTTTAAACTTTCCTCCGCTTCATCACGCTATTCAGCTCCTTTCCTTCTGGCCTAATAATTCCTAATTCTTGCAAGAAACAGCAGTGACAGTGACTCCAGAGTTATGGTATGTAACTGTCTAACCTGATTTCTCCCAAGGTGACACCTATCAGCCATGTTAATGTGTAAGAAACCGAATGCAACACAACAGGAAGATGAAAAGGTATTGGGTGGTAAAATCTGGTTAAATGTTCAGATGTTTTTGTTTGTTTGTGTAGTGCTCCTTTAAAACTTTGAAATGTGGCCAAGGACACTTTACAAAGGACACTCCTGAAAAGGCCTACACAGTTCAATTTTTACCTGAAATGTTGAGCGCCAGCAGAGGAGCTTTCCAAGGTGTCCAAACACTGTGCCTTGAGAAACCCTCCCGCCCTGCGCTCTGATGACCTGGGTCTACAAAATAAATCCTAGCGGGATCCCAGCGGGTCTGAAAAACCCATCTAAACTCAGGATCCTGGGAGTTCATGCACAAAACACCTGCACTTTCCACAGGGTAGAGAGCAATGCGATGATACTGTGTACCTAGGGCAAAGTACAGTATGGCACACGCCTGCAACCTTCAAGTGATTTACATGAAATATCTCAGAGACTTAAAAAAAAAATCCACCTCGAACGCCTTACTGATAGTCGGAAAAGGCCTACTACTGTGGAAAACTGCAGGGTGAACGGCACTAGCAACGCTTTGTTTTCAACGAAGACCTGAACAAGTCATTTTAGGAGCCATCCAACATGACGTCATCCGCAGACTCGGCTCGGAGGCCAGGGTCACATCTGGAAACCAGCGGTTCTCTCCAGGTGGCAGAGTGAGGAGTGCTTTATAAGAATCGTGTTTAAAAACGTCTGTTACGACAGTTTTTTTTTTCCATTTCAAAAAATATAAATGTTAAGGTCACCTTTTCTGCAACGTTACCTTAGAGCGCAAAACAGAGGTTACACTCACAACTCCTCCGCGCGTCCTTTTGAAAATACAAGCTGCGTCCTGGACAATGAACCGGGCTCCTGAAATTCCCGGCGGCTCACTGTTCCCCACCCCAACACGCTCACACACTCACACATGCACACACACACTCCCACGCGCGGCACCTAAACAGCTCTTTCAAATAAGGTGAGTCCGTCACAGCTGGACTCGTGTGCTGTGCCGTAGTGTCTGTCCATACGTGTCCTACGGTCTGTTTCCTCCTTAAAAAAGGAAGCTGTGTGTCCTCGTGCGCACACACACACACACACACACACACACCTTCGCACGCACGAATTACACCCTCAGGCTGAATCACCGGTCCGCGTGGCAGGCAACTTACCTGCCAGTCAGTCCCAGGAGCTCGGGGTCCAGGTACCAGCCTCCAGGGAACCGATTCCCCTCGGGCCTTAGGCAGTAATTCATCAGAAGGCGACGGACGCCCCACCCCTTACTTCCCACTCCCACCCCGGGTCTCGGGCGTCGGGTGGCGCAGACTGATGACGCAACGGCCCCCTGCCTTCTCCGCAGTTCCTCTGCCAAAGCGCCTGCGGGCCACCCCGCCCCCTTCCGGGCACCAGTCACCGCGGCGTTTGCCATCCGGCCCTGCCGGGACCGATGCCCTCTAGCGGCTCGGTGTCTAGGAGCCGCCAAAGAGGACTAGCCATGGCCTCCCGAAGCTTTGATGGTAAGCTTGCGCTGCTTTTTAGGGAGGGGCGTGGGTTAATTAGCACCATGTGGCGCCACCTCGCGGACAGTGGCCACGCGGCCTGCTGAGGAGAGCCGGGGGGCGGGAAGAAAGGAGGAAGCTGACCCGACGTTGCGTAATTGGGCTCCGTGAGGCATTTGAGGGGGGAAAAAATACATTTCCCAGAATCCTGCGGGGCTTAACACTGGTGAAAAAGGGAAGTCGGAGTGCAGGTCCGGGTCAGAGGCCGCCTCTGAACTCCTGTTCCCAGGATGCACCGCTGCCCGCTGCTGCGCGCGCATTCGGACGCGGGCGCTGTAGCGCTGGTGGCGCCGCCGCTAACACAAGATTTCATTTCCCAGGGTCCCGCCGCGGGAATCTCCGGCGGGCCGGCGCGCGCGAGCCCCCGAGCGAGGCGGCAGAGGTGGCCGCGCAGGCTTCTGGGTCCTCCTGGTCTTCGCCTTTCTTCTCCGCGTCTGGTCCGTCGGCCGCTGCCGCGGCGGCCCCCGGCCTGGCCGACATGGCGGCGGTGTTGCAGCAGGTCCTGGAGCGCACGGAGCTGAACAAGCTGCCGAAGTCCGTGCAGAACAAACTCGAAAAGTTCCTGGCCGACCAGCAGTCCGAGATCGACGGCCTGAAGGGGCGGCACGAGAAATTTAAGGTGGAGAGCGGTAAGTGACGCCCTTCCCGCGCTCAGGGGGGTGGGCCCGACCCCGCCGCGGTGGCCGGGCTTTCCCGCTTTCGAGCCCTCGCTCTGGCTGCGACCGCCCTGGTAGCCTCGCTTCCTCGCTCTCGCGGGCCCCTCTCTCAGTTGGATACGCAGGAGCCTTTTTGTTCGTTCGTTTCTTTTTGTAAATCTGAGTCCCCGGCCAGGCCCGTTAACTTCGTAACGAGGCTAGTCCCACAGGACACGAACTTGCGACGATCTGGGGTCTGTTTACCCCGCACTGAGCCTGCAGCCTCAGTCTAAGCCTCGAGCGCCCCGCGCGTCAGTTGCGCGGAAAACCGTGGTGGTGTCCGCCGTGTTGCCGGCTCACCTGCGTTCGGTTGGTCTAATCATTAGGCTCCAATCATCAGACTCCAATCATCAGACTCCAATCATCAGACTCCAATCATCAGACTCTAATCATCAGGCTCTAAGGGGCCGTCTCTGCGCTGGTTGCGAGTGTGAGCGGCGCTGGTCCGTGGGAACTGGATGCGCACCAAGATGCGCGGGTGCGGGGCGTGGCGCTGGCGCCAAGGGAACGGGCGGCAGATGCGTTTACCATGTCGGACTTAACCTCCGACAGCTGGAGTTGAATGGAAAATATGTGACGACCTATTTATTACTAATGCCTGGAGCAGACCCTCAGGTGAGAGCGAAGTTACCGACCCTAGGGGCTCGAACCATTAGTAACACACTGCCCGCTCCGCGCTGTGGTTCACCAGTTGTTTGGGGGGATTGTTTACTGGGTTTTGCTACGTTGGCTGAAAGTTCTGAATAAATTCTTACTTCAAAGTGTGTAGCAGAATTGAGGTGTTGAAAATTAATCTCCCGAGTCCCAGAGGTGAAGGCAGTCCACGGCCTTCTATTCATGAATGGACACAGAAATATTGAGTGTCTTTGATGGGCCCGATAGCAGTGCTGAACAGAACTGACCCGGAGCCCTTCGCGTGATAAGTTCGCGCATTTGTTTTCACTTAAATGTAGTAATTTTTATACTTGGGGGCATATTTTGGCTGTTTTAACACAAGCCTTTTTTAAAGCAGAACCGTTTTTGTAAATAATTCTTTTCTCCCTTTAATCAAGCTTATTTGGCTGCTTTATGCTAAGATATCGACTGGCTCACGTGTGGGGGAAACACTGAGATGTAAGACATGTTTCCTGCCTTGAAGTGGGATAGATAGACCAGGAATTTGTAAAATCCCCCTCGGGTCTTATTTTCTTTTAGTCATTTTCAGTGCTACATGTATTTACCTTTTTCTCAAGTTTTCTTCCTTGGAGTGCAGTTCCAATACTATGTCTTAAATTTTAAAAATGAAGCTTATTAAAAATCTGTGGCAGTATCGAAATTGTGGGTACATGTGTGTTTTATAATTTTTTTCCCCCTCTCCTCTTCTGTAGAACAACAGTACTTTGAGGTAGAGAAGAGGCTGTCCCACAGCCAGGAGAGACTTGTGAATGAGACCCGAGAGTGCCAAAGCTTGCGGCTTGAGCTGGAGAAGCTCAGTAAGTATTACATCTTCTTAAAAAATATATATTTTTATTGATTTCAGAGAATAAAGGAGAGGGAGACATAGAAACATCAACGATGAGAGGGAATCATTGACTGGCTGCCTTCTGCACGCCCCCTACTAGGGATCGAACCCACAACCTGGATATGTGCCCTTGACTGGAATCAAACCGGGAACCCTGCCGTCTGCAGGCCGGTGCTCAATCCACTGAGCCAAACCAGCTAGGGCTTAATTACAACTTTATCATATTCATGGAGTATTGAGATCTTCTGACACTTTTGTATACTTTGGAAACATCTACTTACTGTATATGAAAATACTGTTTTCATTTATGGTAATATTTTTATTTTTCATTCAGTGGTAGACTATAAAAGAAAATAGGGTTTTCAGCGGTTCTCAACCTGTGGGTCGCCACCCCTGAAAATACATCCTGCATATCAGATACTTACATTACGATTCATAACAGTAGCAAAATTACAGTGATGAAGTAGCAACGAAAATAATTTTATGGTTGGGGGTCACCACAACATGAGGAACTGTATTAAAGGGTCGCGGCATTAGGAAGGTTAAGAACCACTGGTCAGTGGTCAGGAAGCCTTGATTCTGAGTGCTATTAAAATGCTCTTTTGCCATATGTAACTCATAATAGTGCCTGACTATTGTTTATAAAATGGCTAGAACCACACGCTGATCTACTTACTATACGACCAGCCGTGGGCAAACTACGGCCCGCGGGCCGGATCCAGCCCGTTTGAAATGAATAAAACTATTGAAAGAAAAGACCATACCCTTTTATGTAATGATGTTTACTTTGAATTTATATTAGTTCACACAAACACTCCATCCATGCTTTTGTTCCGGCCCTCCGGTCCAGTTTAAGAACCCACTGTGGCCCTCAATTCAAAAAGTTTGCCCACCCCTGATACAGACCAAATGTGATATTTTTAGCTCTTTGAAAAAATAAAAGCCATTATGCAACTGAAAAGGTAAAGAGAGTGCTTAATTATTTTTATGTTGTTGAAAAACTAAAACCTATTCCATTTGTTTTAATTTTCTGTTATAATTTTTATAAATATTAATCTCAAGATATTTCCTACTTAATCCTAGTTCAGGTGAAAGAAGAGTAGCTAATTTCCTTCTTAGTTTTTTTACATCATTAACTACTAGAAAGTACACAAGATCTTAAAGGTCTTGACATTTATTGGGAAGATGATGTGTATTTGCTTTGTCTACAGTAGAAGAAAGCAAACGTCAGAAAAGACCTGGGTAGAGTAGGGGCATAATATTTGTTACTAGATACAGATGGGTTTCAATTTGATTAGGAACTCAGGAAGCAAATGATAAGGAGAATGGTTAAAACATCAATCTTCTTTCTTAACCAGTTTCATGCCCTTTGGCTATTTGAGTCATGTTTTTTTTTTTCCAGCTAATTTTGGCGCAACTCATTTCTAAAACATGACATACATATGATGGTATTATATGGATACATTTGTAATGAGGGCACAAGTACATATTGAGTAACTAGATCCAGTTTATTGTCTATACATTGTTTTGCCTTGGAATAATAAAAAGGTCTGTATAATAGTGATGATAAAGAATTTCAGGAAAATGACTGATTAGAGCTGCTTGTGTTAGATCTGGAAGAGGGAGAGGGAGGGGAAGATGGGGATAAAGATAAACAAACAGACCTTTGAGGTGTATAATTACATTTATATTTTTTTAGTGTATCATACTGGATGTGTAAGTTTGGAAAGCAGTACGTAACTTTAAAGCAAAATAGAAAATTTAGATTAATTTTGTAGGGTTTTTTCTTGTAATAAGCTAATTGTTTAAATAGAACTTAACACTGGAAATAATAATAAAGTATTTGCTCATTAAATTGCTAGCACATAATATAGATGTTTTAATTGAAGAAAATTTTAGAAAGTTAATTCTTTCCTAATTACCTTCATGTATTTAGCAGAGAAACTGTATTAAGGAGAGATAGCCCATTCATTATAAGTGGAAGTTGTGGGATTGGTAATTGAGTATCAAGCATAATTTCCTTTCTTCCATGTTAAAGGTTCTCTACAGTGATTAATAAGCTGAATTATAATCACAGTGTCTATTGTGATTTATTCTGTATACAGTTTATGGAAGTTAAATGTTACTAACTTTTTTGGTATGTTTTAGCTCACTTTTCTTATTTGTAAATTTAATTCACTTTTTGTATGTTTGACTTGCAAGATGTCATTGAAAAATAAGGAAGTTGGTAATTACATATGCTTTTACCTATAAAGGTTGGCTGGAATGATCACATGGAATTTTGGAGACAGGATAACCTATTTTAAAATTTGGTCTAGAAATACAGTAAATTTGGGATGTATTTATGATTTAAAATGCGATATATAACTCGGTCTTTCTGAGACTCAATTTCTTAATTTTAAAGTGTATATGAGTGGCAGTTGGATAAAACCTGTTCATTGCAAGTTTTAAGCCTGTGTGTGATCATAAAATTCCTTTTATCCAGACAATCAGCTTAAGGCACTAACTGAGAAAAACAAAGAACTTGAATTTGCTCAGGATCGCAACATTTCCATTCAGGTAAATGTTATTCCTATGAATAAAACTAATTATAAACATGATACTTGAGGAAGTTTTCTATTCTGACCTATTAGTTATTTAG